CATGAAAAATTTGCTGCTAATGACAGTAAAACCCGAATTGTGTTGAGCTTCGCTACTGGAGCAAAGGTTTCTTTGTAGTCAATCCCTTCYTTTTSAGTAAACCCYTTTGCYACMAGYCDRGCCTTGTACCTTTCAATGGACCCGTCCTCCCTATGCTTTACAGTGAACACCCACTTGCACCCGACAATGCTCTTTCCTTCTGGCAGATCCACTAATTCCCATGTTTTTGCTTTCATTAAAACTTTCATCTCTTCATTCATAGCTTCTTTCCACCTTGGGTCAGACACAGCCTCTGAGTACCTAGAAGGAACATGAACAGAAGAAAGAGCAGACACAAAGGAGTGATAGGATGGAGATAAATGTGAGTAAGAAACAAAATCAGCAATGGGGTGTCAAGTAGTACAAGAACGGATAGACTTACGAAGAGCAATAGGAATATCCAAATCAGAAGTATGTGTGTTGGGATTACCTTGGATTGCAAAAACAGATTGATCCGAGTCCAACTGGTTGCTGTCATGAGTTTGAGAGCCCTTTTTTCTTCTGTTGTAGGTGATTTTTATATCTTTCTATTGCCTACTAGAGCCCTCAGGAACATCTGCAGTATTAGGAGAGATAGCAAGCAAAGTGGGAGCCTTACTAGGTTCACCAGGGATGCCACAACTAGGAGGAGTAGAAGGAGAGGATGGAAGGCCCGAGGCAGATAGAGGAACAAAAAAGAAGGGAGAATGAGAATCCTCTTCCATCCCACTAGTCTCCCCCTGAAGAGGATTCGGGGAAGACTGAAAGTAGGGTTGAGACTCAAAAGAGACCACATCTCTGGTGACATACTTTCTCTTGGTGACAAGATCATAACACTTGTAACCCTTTTGTGTAGGAGAGTACCCCAAAAAGATTCCTTTTGTAGCCCTAGGATCCAACTTGGTCTTCTTTGGATCCTTTACATGTATAAAACATACACAACCAAAGACCCTAGGAGGAAGAGGAAAGTCTGGAAGAGTAGGGCACAGAACAGAGAAAGGGGTTTTCATACCCAACACCTTAGATGGCATCCGATTTTTCAGATATAATGCAGTAAGTACTGCTTGAGACCAGTAGTGCTTGGGAACCTTGTGGTGGAATAGTAAGGTTCGAGTTGTGTCCAGTAAATGTCTATTCTTGTGCTCAGCAACCCCATTCTGTTGAGGGGTATTAGCGCAAGATGATTGATGTAGCATGCCAGCATCCTCCATGAACAAGTTCAAGGATTTTTCAAAATATTCAGCAGCATTATCTGATCGGAATTGCTTAATCTTCTTGTCAAATTGTGTTTCAATCATTTTGCAAAATGCCATGGTTATCTGTGGCACTTCATCTCGTCCTTTTAACAGGTAGATCCATGTGCATCGAGAGTAGTGATCAATAAAACTGATAAAGTAATGAAATCCATCAATAGAAACAATAGGTGAAGGGCCCCAAACATCAAAATGAACCAAATCAAAAGGAGCTTGAATTTCATTACTGGAAACTGGATAAACAGTTCTACATTGTTTTGACATTTGGCATACTTCACAGACTAAACTCTGACTTGAAATGCCCTTAAACAATTCGGGAAACAACACTTGCAATGAAGAAAAAGGTAAATGACCTAGCCTAGCATGCCACAGATGCAACCTAGCTATTGACTCCACATTCTCCGGACCACTAGCAGTAGATGCTTGTAAGGCTGAACC